CCGTCAGGGCTGAACCATCAGGACCGGCCCCCAGCCCCGTCCCTCAGGGCTCAACCCTCGGGGTGACCCTCAACCCCGTCCCTGAGGTCTCTCCCTCAGTTGGGTAAGTGCTGACTCTCAACATGGCCCTGACCCTCAGCCCCACTCCCTCAGAGCAGTTGCATCTTAGGCATGCACCTGTGGATCTTCTAAATTCAATACAGCTGGTTCTGTGTTTTAGGGCTTGTGTTTGAAATTATGCCAATCACTGCTGCTGCAGTGTTAAGAGGAACTGCCATAAAATCATGTGAAATTTGGATGTGTTTGCAGCACTAATTATTTTGCTTTGTTTATCCGACTTTCATACAGCAAATTTGGAAAAATCATTCCATTGCTGCCTGTTAAGATTCAGCAAAGAAATGAAAAGGAGTTTAGCTGATACTCCAGCTCGGAGCACAGCAGGTACCAGCCCTTCTTCTGTGCCCTCCTGTTCACACCCCATTATGCTTTTATAGAGACATAAAATACATTTATGTATGTAGTATTCATAGAGGATATTCAATATTTAGCCCTAAATCCCCATTTCCTAAGTGGACTTGCATGGGTTACTTGTTTATTGCAGCACAGGGCAAGATTTTAGATGGATTCAGGGAACTGGTTTCTGAGGGAAAGGTTTCATTAATGGGATTATGTGCAGGACAGAGGGCTGGGAGCATAAATTCTGTGAGGGAATGGCCTTTTATGTGTTTATGAAATGTAATTCCTATTTGTAATGTAAAAAAATGAAGAATTATTTACTTGTTTTAAGTATGGGTTATGTATAATTTTGCTATTAATATAGCATTACTTAAACTTTAATTTTAGGTTGTCTGCCTGTACCATTGTTCAATCAGAAAAAAAGAACTAGACAGCCCCTCACTTCAAATCCACTTAAAAACGAACCAGACACTGGTTCTGGGACTCATAGTTATGACTTCTCTCCCTCATCATTCGGTAAATAAGACATTTTATTCTTTTTTTACTGGCTCTAAATGCAAATCAATCTTATCTTACTGATCGTACTCCATGCAATCAGACATTGTCTTTTTCAAGAACTATATGCATCCTTTATATCTAATTCTGAAAAGTTCATTATGTAAAAATTGTCCTCCAGGAAATTTCTTTCTCCTCTGTACAATTGAGCTTTTTATACTTCTTGCCTTGAGGGAGTTTGACTCTTTGTGTGATGGAGAATGAAGTAGCACTGGCATTTAAATAGAGTCTCTTGAAACTGACCTTTTGTTTTCAGTTGATTTCAATCAACATTCAAGTCCTGTGTTACAAGAAGAAACATTTGTAAGATGTCTTCTTGTAGTTCAGAAAGGAACTTCTGTTCTTCAAATTGGGCTTGGAAAGAATGGTGCAGAACTCTGCTTTTAGTGCTTTCATTATGTTTTATTTGTAATAAAGTTTCAAAGTTTTCTCACAATAAAATCTCTGTTGCTAATAAGTCTAATGTTTGTAACTGAACTAGAGAAGCAACCTACTTGTTAGAAGTTGTCTTATAATTACAAATATCAAAGGATCACATTCCCCTTATTTCTTTTTTCTTCCTCCTTCCTATGTGAGCCTGTTTGTGGGAATTAAGCAGAATTGTAAGCCTACAAAGACTTACTAACTTTCAGTCTTTTCAATTTTTACCAATATTCCATCCTTTGTCTTTTGAAAATTAGGCTGGGGAGCTGCAAACCCAGAAGTGGATGAACTGCAGAAGGCAGCAAACAGTGGGTATGTAAAAAGCAAGTTATTTGTTGCTTTTTTGATTTTTATTTGGATGTTGTTTCCTGAACAATCCATGTGTGTGTTACAATAAAGCTGCTGCTGTGTCACTGATACTTTAACCTTGTCTTTGAAAGCCAAGCAGAACATCCGATGGCTCCTTCCCTTATGAAACCACCAAATGCATCAAAGTTTAATTTAGCAAATGCTGGAAAAAACGTGTCTGCCTGCAGGTTGGTGAAGCCTTTAATGTCTATTACCCTTCCTTTTTGTTCTTATGTGAAAATGCATCTCACATTTTCCCATATGCCTGTAGCAGTCAAAGAAACCCTTTTAATCTCACACTCAGAGGAAACCTTGTTTGTTTTATTTTAGAGTTATGAAAATATGTGAATTTTGGGTCAGGAAAGATCCCTTACCCAGGGCAGGACAATAACTGAGCAGGTTTTTAAGGCCTGTTGAACTCAGATGGATTTATGCACAGGTGCAATCACTGCCCCGTATATGGATAAATTTGGTGTAAACTCAAGTGAGTTTGGAGATATTTAAAGCTAAAACAACAATTTATGCATTGCTTTTATATTCTTTAATCACATAGCTCAGTGTTGAGAAGATACTGTGATACTGAACTGTTGTATTGCAGGAACAGAAATGAATATACTCCTTTAGGTAAAACAGCAAATTCAAGATCTGGTAATGGAACTTCTCAGAAGTTTGAGAACTTTCCAAGCAGTTTGAAAACTGTCCAGCAGCAAAAGCACCCTGACAGTCGTAACCCATCCCAGCTCATCAAAACAGACACACCCAAAGGAAAGTGGCCAGTGAAACCCAACACTGTGGCAAGAAATCTGCAGGATCAGAGTCCAGCATATAAATTTAACTACAAAACTCAGCAAAATAAAATGAATGAAAACCAATTTGGTGGTGTCCCAGAAGATAAAAGTCAGGTAAAACTTATGGGCAGGGTTAATAGGAAAGACAGAATGAAGAAAGCAGTAAAGAAAGAAAACTGGTGGAAGATGAGGTTTTCATCAGCTCAAGCTGCCTAAGTAAAACCTGGAGCTTCTGGAAATTTAGAATTGGGATTTTCATACTGCAATCATCTATAACCCTCAGTAAAGTGGCAGGGAGTTGTTTGTATATTCTGAACAAATGCTCTAATTTTAATGTAATTATTTACTGTTTAATATAATAAATAAATGCCTACATGCTCTTTGAAATTGCAAGTGTGCATATCTAACTTAAGCTTTTGTCTTCATCTGAAAGGAAATTTCATCATCTCAAGTGAAAACTAAAATAAAAAAGAATTCTTTGCGAATCCTGTCTGCAGTCATTCAGAGTGTGAGGCACTGGAGCCAGTATGCCTATAAAACTGCACTGCTGTTTGAAGTTTTAGGTAAGCATCATAGATTATAATAATATAATCTGATAATAATGCTAGGGCAACAAAAAGTGAGAATTTTTCAATGGCTGAAATACTTAAACCCACAAAATACTGACATGAACACCATCTAATTTCCCTTCCATTCAGCTATCAAAGGTGACTGAAACAGGTACAAAATTTACACTTCATAAAAAACCATAAAATTTTTCTATCCTGTTTCTTTCCTTGTTTTTAGAATAAATTTTCCTTTTTAGTAGGAATCTTCTGTAAAGTGATAGAGTTTTACAATATTTTAAAATATAATTAGTCCTGGAATGATTAATTTTTGCTTAATGGGACAGGCACATTGGATTCTGCAGTCACACCTGGAGCATATGGAGCAAAGAACTTTCTTCTGAGAGATGGAAAGGAGACCCTGCCTTGTGTGTTTTATGAAATTGTGAGTATTCTGTGTCCACACATAACAGTCACCACTGGCTCCAATCCTTTTCAAAGAAAACATAAATTTACAGTGCAAAGGGCAGAGTGAATGTTTTTATCATATTGTTCCCAATTTAGAGCAATAGTCACTACTTAGGCATCCTCAGACTTCTGTTTCAGAAAAACAGGTGAGACTTTGAGTTTCGTTTTTAAGTAGCTGATAACAGGAACAAAGGTGATGTCGAGGTTTTCTGTTTGATGTAGCCCTCAGAAGCAGCCATGTGGAAAGGTTTTTTGTGAGGTGATGTAATTGTTTTGTGTGTTTATTGTGCTTTGATGAAGGACCGTGAGCTTCCACGACTCATTAGAGGTCGAGTGCACAGGTGCATGGGAACCTATGATGCAAAAAAGAACATTTTCAAGTGCGTCTCTGTAAGACCAGCAACTGCTCAAGAACAGGACACTTTCCAAGACTTTGTTAAAGTTGCAGATGTTGAGATGACAGCATATGTGAAAACTATGAATGAAATGTAAAAGTCAAAATGGTTGTCCAAATCCCAGTTTTAACTAATTGTTACCCATAAAGGCTGGACATGCTACAACATTTACCAAAATTACCAGTGAAAATCTGGTTAAACATTTGAAAATATCACTGTGCTGTGTTATCCAGCAAATGCTGTGTTGTGTTCATTGGGTTGCCATTTATGTGTTACCTGATTGATGTTTTTTTGAAGAAATGAATTATCAGTATAATACCTGTATAAAATAACAGACCCCAAGGCTGTAGGAAGTTTGCCAAGGACACAGAGGAAGTAGAAAGGAAAGAATTATTAGAACACAGAACTTCCTTGCCTTTGCCATGGAAATGTCTTTCATGACAGATGGGCCATGTACATGTTTATGTGCCTTTGCCTTCAGACATTACCTTTCATAGGTTGTTCCTGCTGTTCCTATTTCCCTTTCCTCTACTTCAGAAGCTTTGTAGCAGATCTCTTGGGAATTGCAAAACAAAAGAGTTGTCAAGAAAACAGCAAACAGTATGGGGATTTTTTTAAATTATTTTATTATACAGTGTTGGCAATTGGAAATTTCACATTTAAAATAATTGAAATATTGTATCCAACAAGTCAAATACAGAAAACAGTTAATATTCTAAAAAGGAGCCAGCTAGTCAACGCAGAAACACATTAATGGAAAATACAGCTTTTAGTTACACTTAAAAAATTATATATTTAGAATAAAACTTGAACCTGGTCCAGCAAATTGTAACAGGAAAACGCTTTTACACAGTTTAACGCGCAGACAGTCTTTATTTCAAAAAGTGATCTGTCAGTGTGAGCACAGGCAGTGCCAGCAGCAGGTGAGATCTGAAGGCTGTGCTTTACCAACTGCTGCAGGGATCACTGGAATTATCACCACACCTGCAGAGTGAGGTGGGCTCAGAGCATGGGTGCTTCAAGGAGGGTTTTGCCACTTGCAGAGGTCATGTACACGTGTTTGATTTATTTAAATATTATAAAAATGTTATAAAATGTTAAAGGAAGCTCCTAATGGAAGCATTAGCTTGACTCATAAAAGGTGCAGAATTTTGCAGGATGCAGATGTTGATTTGCACAAGAGAAGTTGAGCTTTGAGAAGTAAAGGAATTGGTACAGCACTGTTGTGAATTGTGAGACTGCTGTAACAGTAATTTAAAACTGCTTCCAGTTAAGTGATTGATGCTTCCAGTTTTGCACATGTGAAACTTAGGTTAATAAGTAATGACAGGAATAGGTCCTTTGTCTACTAGGTATGTTATGGCTGTTAATAAAAATCTAAATTAATTTTTCTTTTCGGGAAGTGTTTAGATCTTTGCAAAAGAAGTTTCTATTTGACACTAACAAATCACTTTTTCTAGTGAAACATTAAGTGAACAGTCGTAAACATTACACAAAACAGAAAAAACCCTACTCAATACAGTTTATACACACTACTCAACATTTTTCAGTTGTTGGGTGATTTTTTTTCTTGACCATATTGATCCTGTCTTGTATAATGGTTCTAGTGTAAAGGCACAGGTTGGTTAGGAAAGAAAAGCCTGCATCTCTGTCTTTCTACTATGTGGTGATTCTTTTCTTTTTTGCATGTTGTTTGTTATTCCTCACTTTTCTGACTCTCACATGAAAATTATCAATCTCAGCCATTCTTTAAAAAAAGTGTAAGACATCACTGAAAAGCACATTAATATACAAAGTGACTGAAATTTATTCTTCTTACTTTAGGGCATTCCTTCAGCCTATTTTGTTAAATATGTGGAAGATTTAATTCCTCAGTCCCTGTGAGCAGAGGTGCAGAGCACTCCTGCTCTCTTTCTCAGTGTACTCAATTCTGCATTGGAATCTGCATTTTCAAAGAACTTGCTGAGTTTCTGTGCAGAAATTGCTTTTAGAGTGCATGGAACTGTAAGAACAGGACAATTATTTTGGAAAACAATGCAATGTTCCATTGAAGTTTAGAAGGGTGAGGAATGTAAACAAGACTGCAGAAGTCTTTGATGTATATTGAAATAACACAGTGATTGTTCTGTTTGCATTTTCTTATACATCCTCAACATGTCTCTGTCTGTCCCTTCATGTACACCTTCCATTAAAAAAAAATAAAAATTCAGGAACCAGTTGGACTCAGCTAAGTGAAGAATAATAAATTTGATCACCTGGTTTGTGCCAAAATACAAAACTAAGAAGTACACCTCTGAATTAAATATAATCTATGTGATTTTTCTTTTTAATAAATAATAGAAAATAAAAGATGAGAATAGAATTAGAATTAAAATTTTATTTTAAACGAAAAAACACAACAGTGGTGTGAGATTAGAACCCAATGTTTCTTTTGCTTAAGGCAATCAAGTGCACTTATTTCAATGCTTGATAATGAATTCAGTGCTATTGTGGAAATCAGAGCTCACAAAATTCCATACAGACTAATGAAATATGGCCATTGGTGCTTCTGACACAGCAGCAGATTTTTGCTGGTCATGTTCAATAGCATTTCACTTCACTTTTTTGTTTTACAATCTGGACTCTCAATTGCAATGGAAATACTGGAATTAGTTCATTCTGGCTTGTGTTATCACTACAGATAAGGGCCTTTGGGCACAGACATTTTTGTAAACTGAGATTTTTTCTTTTCAGCCTTAAACAACAAAACCCAAAGTCTATCGCTGTCATAGTTCAAAATATTTTGTTAAAGTCCATTTAGAATTATCATTTAGGAAATACTGAGAACAAATTCTTAGGGATTTTTTTTCCTGTTGTTAAAGTATTAAATCATCATGAAGCCTTTGGAAGTAGTTGAAGTTCTCAGAAAAAAAGAAATTTCAGTTTTACCCAGGACTTCATGAAGATGTCTCTATATCTTGGCAATTGGAGCAGAAGTAAAAACTGTGCCCAGAATTTACAATATGCAGGTGCTGCTAATATATATATAAATTAAGAAGAAACTTTTCTTGAATATGGTTTTTTTAGCTATCAATCTTAATTTTAGGCTGTGGGTACTCGTAGGTGCTTTTTCACTAATCAAAATAATTGTAACAAAATATCATTATTAATTTTCAAGTTACTGGGTTCATAAAAGTTCTGACATTTCACAATATATCAAAAGTGAATTGAAGCTTTTAAAACTCACAATTTTGAGACACAAAAGAAAGTGGGAGGTAGACAGATGTTTTGAGGATAAACTGATTATTTTTTTGTCTAAGGCAGTATGCCATGGTGTGTTAGAGCAGGGTGAAGGCTGCTGATTAATCCTATTTCAATTCCAGAGCGTTCGCTGCTCGTGCTTACGGAAGACTTTCAATGCACTTTTGGTCTTTGTCAATGTGACCTTCTCTTCCCCATCTCCTCTCCTCTCTTTAGCAACACAGCCAACTGGAAGTGCTTCAAGAATTTCTGCCCCTTAGTGTAGACAGGAATGTTCTGTTCTTAAACAGGAATAAAATACTATAAAATAGTAGGTATTGGAGTTGGAGATATGTGCTCTTTTGGTGCATATTTTGCAAAGAATGGTAAAAAGACAGACAACATGACCCCAACAATTGCCAGCATGTACCCCCATCCAATCTGGCAGTCTCCTGCATAGTAGATGTCTGAGTTCTCACAGAATCTCTTCACAGTAGCAGAGTTGAAACCAAAAGGGTAAACCAAAAGCCCAGAAGCCATTATGAACACTAGAGAGGAGAAAAAAAAGAAATCACACCAGTTATTATCAAGCATTAATTCCTTTGGAAGAAAAAATCCTAATTTTAGAAAGGCAAATATCTATTATATTAAAATCAATGGGAAAAGGCATAGCTTATAAAACCCCCTTGTGATTGGCAGATTATCCTCCTTTTCATAATTACCTCTTGTGAACAGCAGTGGTGTGACAAGGCAGCAAGTTGGGATTTTTTTCATGAGAACTCTTGCCATTAAATAACTTCAGAAACGCTGTGATCCAAATTATGTAGCCATGTAAAAAGTAACGTGGTTCAGATATAATGGAATCCAGAGGAGAAGAATTCCTAAGTTGGCAGATTCCAAACCAGCTTCACTTTCTTCTCAGCAGCATTTTTGTGCTTGAGACAAACAATTACTTTGTTCTGCCAAATAGAAACTTTCAATGAAAGAGTTCACATACAATTTTTAGATTCTGCTGGTGAGGTTCTGATAATGTGAGATTCATTAGTACCGGCTCAAATTGTTTAAAACATCCTGCATTTGAACAACTGATGAAAAACAACACCATCTATCTTCTTTTTATTTATTTATTTTATGTCTCTTGCCATTGGAAAGCCAGGCTTGCCTCCTGCAATAACCCTACATAACCCATTGGCTTTTAATAGAACTTCACAGGTTTTAGTCTTTAAGGAATCCATGTCATATTCAAATATCAATTTATGCAGGTAATTGAATCAACAGCAGAACCACTTTTGCAACTTTGAAAATAAGACTGCCCAAGGAATAACTCATGAGTGAGATAAAGCTGCATGAAAATCCCCCAGGGACAACTCTTGGAAGCTGATTCTGCCCAGCGTGGAGCTGGAGAGGGGCTGAGCCAGGCTGGGGAGAGGGGTTACAGCTCCTTTTGTCTGAGACAGCACTGAGAAACCACATTTTCTTCTCCATCCCTTCTGCTAATCAATTACCACTGTATTTAAAATCCCTACTCCATTTTAAAAGGCTTTATTTTATGTACTAAAAGGATACCATGGAGCAGTCCCTTTTCCTCTCTTCCCCTTTTCCAGGGGAGTGTTTGTTCAAATTCAGGGAAGTGATTCAAGCAGCACCCAGAATTAACAGTTATGTTTGAGCTGATAGATAATTCATAACCAGCAAACATCTAATGAAACATTAGGAGTATAAAACAAACACTGTGTGCTGTTCTCTGTGTTTGTGATTGCCTTTCAGGTAGGGCATGTGCATATTACTCCAATTATAATATTGGAGAGGCTTAATCTAAAAAAATATCCACTAAAAAAAGGGCAATCACTCATTAATCTTTTTTAATTAAAAACACTTTAATTAACTGGGGGCTAGATGAAGTCCAAAAGTTTAACACACAGCCTGTTGAGTCTCTGAATAATTTGAATTAAACCTTTGCTTCTAGTCCAAATGGAACTGCTGAGTTAATCCCTTGTTGAAAACAGTAAGGTGAAGAAAATGGAAATTAAAAGGAGAGAAAGTGGAGGAGCAGCAAAGTCTTGTTTCCCTCTGGGTATCTCACACACGGGTACAAAGAGAAGCTGCCTGCCAAGAGGGGGAACTGTGAGCACCAAGTGTTCCCCTGCTCCAGCAGCCGCCCTCCTTCCTTCAGACCTCAGGGACAATTCTGCAGTGGTTGCTGAGGCCTTTTCCTCTTTCCACCTCCCCACAAGGGGGGTGCAAGGTGCTGCTGCCAGAAAGGGAACAGTCCTTCCCAGCACAGGCAGCATCCTGAGCTGATCCTCCAGCAGCTGCCCCTGCTGGGGGTGCCCAGGGCAGGGGGAGCTCCTGGAGCTGGGATTTCAGCAGCTGTCCCTGCTTTTGGGGCCTGACAGTCACCAGCCATGCTGAATGAATACAGAGAAGTTGTGTTATGCAGATCTCCCTAACTGCTCATCTGTGACACCCCTAAAAACAATATAAATGAAAATACAGTAAAAATGAGGCCAAACCAGATAAGGACAAGGGGTGATGGTTTTAAATTAAAACAGGGTGAACTCTGAGTAGATAGAAGGAAGAAATCTTTCATGATGAGTGTGGTAAAACACCAGCACAGGCTGTCCAGAGGTGGTGGATGCCCCATCCCTGGAAGCACCCAAGCTCAGGTTGGACAGCTCTGAGCAATCTTGTCTCGTTGAAGACATCCCTGTTTGCTCCAGGAGAACATTTACAGGTCACTTCCAACCCAAACTATTCCATGATTCTGTCATCTTGTTCAGTAAAGGTCACTGAGCTTTCCCAAAAGAGCTGAGGGGCCAGCACAGCCTGAGAGCCACAGGCCACTCTTGCACACCCAAGAACATTCCAGAACATCTCCTCTGGGGGCAGAAACATGGGAAATATCTCCAGAAAATGAGATTTTTCCTACTGCTGTTTACAAGAGTGTTAAACCATGACCTAAACCTGTTAATCCCTGGGCCTGTGCAGTTGTAGGTTCACAGCTGGGATGTGGAACAGGGGCTGCCCAGAGCCTGTGGTGCCCAGGGGGTGCCCAGCACAGCCCCCCTGCAACCCAGGCTGCTCCACTGCACCAGGAATCTTGAAATAGCCCGGGGTGCAAAGCTTTCTGTGAAATGTTGGGAAAGTGAGCCAGTTTTACAAGAAACAGCCACTGCTCTAAGCAAGAAGCAGGTCTAAAATTAAAATTTCAGTTTGTTCATCTTTTCAAAGCCAAAATAGCATCTCATTCGATGAAGGAAAAAAAAAGCAGCAGAATTGGAAACAATCCTTTCAGCGATAAAATCCTTTCCTAACTGTTAAATTTCACTGTTTTTCTGACACTGTCTCAACCCCTTGCTCTGTTTCACATATCTGTTCCATATATGTTGTCTTTTTGATTGGGTTCCCCAGAATTGTTTTGAAGGCTGTGTTTTACAGTGTTTTGATTACCACTTGGTGCTGATGTTGCGTGGTGTGATTTAATGGAAGCAGCTTTATTTTTTTCCAAGGCTAGAAATAATCTGTCACAGCTGAACGTATACATTCACATATCAAACGAGCTAAAAAGTTACCCATGGTTTCATATCCTCAGGCATGTCACTGAATGACCTCATTATTCTCATTTAGGTGCCCTCTTTCTTACAAAGGCTCCAAATATTGAATAGCCCCGTTATTAGCGCAGAAGCCGAGCTTTCAGGCGTGGTGCTAATGACGGCTTAATGGTGCTGCCTGTCAGCAGCACAGCGAGCTGGGACAGCGCACAAAGGAACACCGGGGCTCCATTTAGGCTCCTCGTGTAACGCTCACGCCTCTGCACTGCTTTCCAACAACAAACATCACTTTCAAAGGTGTCAGAACCCAGCAGCGAGTGCATCTCACCGTTCTGCGTGCTGTAATCGTGCTGTCACACGAGGTGATGAGGCCACACAACATATTGGGGTCTGTTCTGCAG